TGGTAGGGAGGGTGGGAAGGGAAAATTTTCTGCTGACCACCAGTACAATTTGAACTGTTTGTTCTCTCTAATTGAATTTCATTTCAAATATTAATGCTAAAAAAATTTTTTATACAGAAGAGGGAAGAGTGGTAAAGAAGAACTCTGGGAAAAATCAAAAATGTACGCTTGCAGTGGGACTACCACAGCACTGCAAAGGTTAAGCGCTAGTTTTGTCTAGGGGGCTCAAATAAAGTACATATACTCACCTGACCCTTAGTCCTGTGGTGGTTAGCACTCTAGCTGTGGAATGTCCCTAGGCACCCCCATGTCTAATGCAGGTCAATGGATCTGCATAAGACGTGATGACTTTGGCAGTGCTTAGACTGCTGGAGCCTAGGGGAATCCCTTCTAAAAAATACAGGTCTCAGTACATTAACATAATCAGTCATATGCATTACAATATGGTACTACGGTCAAAAAGGAACATTGGCTTAGACCCCGCTAACCATTGGAAAATGGAACACATGTTCCAAAAATGAACATTTTTGAATACAATTCTACTGGTGTATGGCCATCTTTAGTTGTAGAGCGGTTTTAATAGATTATTCTCACCTATACCCAGAGTGGATTATTTTACAACCCCCCCTTCCCCGCCCGATCCATACAGCAAAAGTAATGGCCAGAAAAGAAACACAGACTCTAACCCCTAACGTTGGTGGCCAGTGGAAATTTGCCCCCTCACATTGGTGGTCAGTGGAGAAAAGCCGCATTCCATGATAGGTGTAGATATGACCACTTACATTGGATGTCGATGAGAAATTGTCCCCTTATATTGGTGGTCATTCTAGGTGGGAGATCAATCTGCCACTACTCAAGGAATCCCAGGGTTCCACAGAACCCTGGTTGAGAATCTTGATGTAGCAATAAAGGACTGTCTACAATTTAGAGCAATACATTAGAAAACCTTAAAGGGACAACTTGAAAAACCCTAAAAGTGGGCCATTGGATTCTAATATCTCCTGGGAACACCTATAGTAAAATCTTCATATTTGTTTTTCCTGGTTCTTTGCCTAATCTCCTTGGGTAAATAAACTCCTCCTTCATTATAAAATATAAACTAAAAATCCAATGTAGAAAATTAGACGCCTACATATTGGTCCAGGAAGGTTTGGAAATGCAAGTGCAAAGATGGTACCGTGGGAAATCCAGGGAGACATTGTGACTGAGACATAAAGTGATGACAAAATCCAGAATTTTACACTTGTCACCACAACAGGAAGTGAAGGGAAATTTTCCAATGGAGACAGTTGTCAAACAGGAATTTTCTTTAGGATAAATTTTCTGTAATTTCATGTTTTTTTTTTTTCTGGCACAGGAAATGGAAGAGAAATCTCCCAATGGGACAAACAAAAAAACCTTCAATGGGTTTTTACTATTACCTTATCCAAATGTGAAAAAAGAGGCTTTGGCCTTAGATGTACTTTAACAGTCCAGCATCTGAAATACTAGTTTTGTGCGCACACATTAAAGTGGAACTGAACTCAAAAAGCAAAGATGTGCTGTATTATAGGGATCATTTAGAAATGTTAATTGTGCCCCAGCAGTATCCTGAAAATGTGCTTTTTAGTCTTTTAAAAAGAGCAGTGCCCTTCCTGTTATGTGAGTATGCCTACGCACTCCTGTGTATGCAGACTCATAGCTGTATATCTGCTGTGTGAGATCTAAGGCACTGCCGCCTCAGGTTGCTAGTCTCAGGGGATTTGATGTTAGATTTGGTGATGCCATTACTGTGCTGCTCACTGTTCTCCTTGCTGGAGGCTCTGACACAGGAAGCAAAGCCCCACATATACAAAGATGGCTGCCTCCACTCAGAGACACCATGCTGAAAAAGGCGTGGTAAGTCAGTAAGGTAAAATCAGCTGAACAGATTACAGGCAATACTAGATACTAGTCTTTTTTTCCCCCATGCCTGGGCACAGCTTTTAGAGTTCCGTTCCTCTTTAAATTTACCAAGAATCCATTAATGTGGTAGGAAAAGTACTTTATTTCAACAAGACATGAGGTCTTTGTTAAAGAAACAGTCAATTGATTTTCTGTGTATACAGTATATCTGCTGTTTGACAGCTATGGTCTTTGTTCTGAGGATTCAGTATAGGTTGAGAGCCCAGTAGATTGTGAATACAGATTTTGATCTTCCCACAGCGTGCCATCAATCGGACACAGTACGCCGAGCACGAAGACCTGTCAGATGTGGAGGACGTGGTCAGTGTTCGTGGCTTCAGCCTTGAGCAGAAAGTCAGCTGCAACAACTACCGAGGGGACTACGTGCGGGTCATGGAGGGCAAAGGTAGTGACAGCTGCTGCTTTCTATACGTAGTGTTTACAGATAACCATTGGATGGATGCAGTATGACAGTCCAATGTGTTTCTACTTTGTAGACTAAGCTTTCTACACTCGTTATGTGTTAAGTTTCCCAAAACTCTAATTTAACATGATGAACTGACCGGACAGGGTCCATGCTTTATTGAGTAGTTGGGAGGTGTTTTGCGGAGTTTAAAACAAATGCAGATTAAAAAATTATCTATATGTTCAGTGTTACATCAGTTACTTGTGTATAGCAATGGTCATGTATTTTGGCACTGCATAGTTTATATAATCAGTGTAAGTAAAGAGATAAAAGCCATACACTCTGTTTCAACACATTATTTAATATCTTGTTTATGTTACAATAGGCTTAATTGAATGGTGCAGGTGTACAGCTTAATCCCTCAGGGTGCCATTGCACCTCCCATGTCCTCATAATTAACACTGCTTGTAAATGAAAACATCTTTTAGCTTTTTTGCTGTTCATAATAAAAGGGAAAAGAAATGGTCATTCTTACATTAGAATCAGATCTGAGCCCAGCCGTAAGAATACTTCTGATGCCTGTTTTGCTGTGACATTGAATTAATTGGTGCAGCAGACATGTTAGCCTTATAGTGATAATTGGCTTAGTGACAGTAAATGGCATATATTCCAGAGTTCTCATCTTACAAAATGCAAGTGTCTTGCCTTCATGTTACGGCACAAGACAATTTTATCAAGAACATTAGTTGAGTCAAATATTAATACTATTACTATATAAGCAAGGGGTAGACAGGTGAGGAAAGTAGGCAGTGATTGCCATTGTTCATATCTAATTATGTAGTTCCATAGCTAATCACTTTAAAATGTCATCTGGGTTTTCAATAGCACAATTCAAATAAATAACAGGGTTATTCACAAAATGGTGAAGAGTTTGGAGAAGGCAGGAGAAGTGAACAATCTAGGACAACATAACTGAACTGGAAAGTGAGGTGAATTGGAGAATTTTTCCAAATCAGCTATGTTGTCCTAGATTGTTCACTTCTCCTGCCTTCTCCAAACTCTTCACCCTTTTGTGAATAACCCTGTAAATATTCAGAAATGCAGTCCGATTTGCCAAAATGTCAGTGGAAGACCTCGGAGTGCCTACCAAACCCTAGTTTTTTTAGAGGTTTTTGTTATACCTTGTGTGCTTAGAAAGCTAGACCCTTCTCTGTATGGCAAAACGAATGGCCCTTCGCGTCTGTACCAAGGAGCATTTGTTCTTGTCATTGAAATCCATAAACGTCTATGGAAAGCAGATCGGATGCAAGTCAAAAGGAGGTCAACTGCAGGTCTAATGCACCTGTCAATGAGTTCCCTCAGAAATTAACTCGGAAATGTCTGAGGTCGCATTCACTACATATTCACTACAGAGGATCCAAAAACCCAAATGACCCCGTGCTGCAACGCAATGCAGCGCATTACAATGCATGATATGTGCGTTGTGGTTTGCTGCAGTACATTGTACAGTTCGTTGGGGTGCCATTCACAATGAATAATACCAAAGCTCACCGCACATAGAGCAGATGTGTTGCTGTGCCTTGCAGGAACCCACAATTGTAAATAGGCCCTCAAAACGTTGTCAAGCTGGTGCCATGGAAATACAGGCCCTTACTGTATTTGATGGGTTTATTAAAGGGTAATTCCACTTTGCCAGGTGAATTTGGGGAAAATTTAATTACACCTCCTCACACCACCCCTCCCCTCCAAATATACATACCTTTGGGCGAACGCTCCTTCCTCTCCGCCAGGGTACTATTCATTCCCCGTACACAGCAGTGAAGCTCTGCACTCTGTATTTTGAATTTCGTTCGCAAATGGAGAGTACTCATTAGTCAGTGCGGTCAACTGACCACATTGACCAATGAGAAGCACTTCTTAGCAAAACATTTACTACAACTGCTGATTTCCTTCAGCCTGTTTAAGCCACTTTCTGTCTGCATGCACATGCTCCAGTACCAGCGGCACTGACCTCTTTCCTGATGGTGACAATGGTGGAACATGCCTGTGCCTATCCAATGTGTGTTGACACAGGCGTGTCAACACACATTGGTTTGGAGACAGTTGTCAGAAAAAGGCAGGATTACTAGGTATTATTTTAGTAAAAGTTGCATATTTAGAAAGACTGAACACAACTATTGAAATTACTTTAACATGTTATTTTTGTGATTGGGGTTGGGTATCCTGTGCTCTTGCTGTACCCTCTTTTCTGTTTGTGTACATACTGTATAGTGAAAGTCAGACAAGATGAAGATTGGTGACACATTTGCTCTATGTTTGCTCCTCTATTCATATAGCATATGGTCATGTGTATCAAATTCCCTCTTCCATATTCTAAAGGTTGTTTCCGATACAGCAGTATTATCTATGATTTCCAGTCACCGGCTACCTAATTGCTGTGTTGTTTTTAATGTATTTCTTGAAGGTATGGGAATATCAATATACCAATACTGATATACCTGTGGACCCTGTGCCCTGTATGTTTATGACTTGTTGATACAGTTGTGCTTTTTTCAGTGTTGCCCTTCCGGACAAATATTTGCCTTCTTTCTTGTTCCAGCGATCGTTGCTGTGCGGTCCTGTACATTATCCAACGGAAACGTCTTCTTGTGAGTGCACATGTGCGCCATCGCCCTATTGATTTCTACAGGCAGTGGTTGACACATTAATATTGCATTCTGGAGCCAGCAGGATTTTTTAAGTAGCCAGCTCCATTGGCAGCAACTAGAGAAAACCTCAAAAGTTGGGCACCAGCTGTAAATTTTAAGGAGCATGAGCGACCTGGTTCCTAAGATTCATCCAGCCCTGCCTATGGGCAAGCTGTACTGTGCTAGACTGCTGGAGGCTGCAATGAGTATGGCTTACCCATAGGAGTGAATGGTGCTGTGGTGAGCATGCACAGTGAGAAGCAGGGATGCTTTTGTTAAAAAGACTATGAGGCGCCAGGCAGTACCACACAGCAAAGACTGCTAGATTGAGGAGCAAAGTAAATATTTGTCCAAGTGGTCAGCAAAGGTACAGTTGTCATTTAAAGGAGAACTATGAGGTTGAGTGATTTTTTCACTCAACCGCATAGTTGGTGCCGACGTGTGACAATGAAACTGTCACACGTCGGCTCAAAAGATCGGCAAGTGAGCGAACGCATACCGTCGCTCGCTTCTCGATCATGTCCCTGCAGAGAGTGGTGATGGTCACTTACGGCTCCCTGCAGGGATTCCCCCCCTCCCCGACCCGATCCTCCAGCGCTGACTAGCGGAATGGACAGGGGAGGGGGCAGGTACAGCTGGCTCTGCCTCTAGATAGGCAGAGCCAGCTGTCAATCAAGCAGTTGTGTGGATCTCGACAGTAATGTCGAGATCCGTCCCGGCTGAGGCGGTCTCAGTATACCGCGAGCTGTGGCTTGCGGTATACTGAGTTTTGGGTCACGGGAGGATGCTAGTTTGTGTCCTCCCGTGACCCTGAGGAGAACTATGGAGAAAAACACTTACCCCATAGTTCTCCTTTAACATTAGATTTGATCTAACATCATGTCTTTGTTTGGGACAGATTGGTGAAGATAGGACCCCTGTCAGGTTTTTGTATGTGGGTCTATGTGCCCACTGGGGGATTTCCCTTGCTTAATGTCGGAATACAAAAATGTAAACCTAACTTGTTTGTTCTTCCCAGTTTGTGTACAGCGTTGTGCGAGACATATTTTATTTTTCTCCCTTTAGACTTTACATATGAATATGTTCAAAGAGAAGCCCTTAGAGTCCCTCTTCTTTTCCTCAGCAAGGATGGACTAGGTATTAAGTAAGTCCAGTTATTTGTAACATACATTATTTCCATATATTTACCCTTTTCTGTTGTTATTATATGTAGGAAGGTGGTGTTTCGTAAACACCACCTTCCTTAGTTTGACTAGAGCTGCATTTTTCAACATATCATAGCTTATCTTTGCCAGTCATTTGTTATTAGCACTCACACAAACCATTTCTCGCTTCTTCCTTCTTCTCATTCTCTTTACATATATTTGCATGGATTACACTATTTGCCTTTCTTATTGCAGGATGCCAGATCAGAATTTTACTGTCAGGGATGTGAAACTACTAGTCGGTAAGTGGCAAGTATTCAGATGTTTTCTACTAATCATCTGTGATACAATGCTGACAAAAGAAAACAATGGAGATGATGACAATCCATGGTCTATCAAATGTGCTGAAAACGTAGGCCCTTCAGATCTTCCCATTGAGAAGAGCAGAATGAGAAAGGAGGCGAGAAGCAGAATAGAGACAAAAGCAAAAAGAGAAAGGAGAAAGAGGAGGGAATATGGGCGGAAATAGGATTACTGGTGTATTGTATTTTTTTAATGATGTGTATCGTAAGGCTTTTTTTCCCCAAACTAGCGTCAACCTGTCATTGCTCACAGATTGTTTTCAGTCTGTATAACCTGGCTGATCCATGTATTTTCTGAATGAGAGTAAAAGTGGGTAATAACTGAACATACTACAGTCCTTTGAGCAAGTTGCAAGAGAATCAGCTTTTGGTCTTGCCTCTATGAATGAGCAGGCATGAGCAGTTGTATTCCTGTCTGCTTTACCCAGGAAGAAGCTGGCCTTGGATGGACAGGTTGAAACTAAACTGTAAATATATGTAATTTAGAGACAACCACACGTGCTGGATGAAAGTTATCATTGCACACTGCAATACTGCGTTTTTGTTTTTTTTAACGTTATATATATATAGCACTCTGGAAGTGTTTGCCATGCTAGCATGCACAGCATATTAGCACATTATGGCTGACTTTCCTTGCAAACAATCCCCCTCCAACGCTTTGCTGTCCACTCTCCCCTCAGTCACTGGTTCTGTCTTCTTCTCCTGGTCTTCCAGGTTTGGTGTCTTCCGCCTCTTGATTGGCCGCACTGGCATAATAATATAACTTGTGTGCATGCACACGGGAGTTACTTCATCTCAGCATGCTGGGACTGCACATGCGCGGCTCAGTGCACAGAAAAAGAAAATTGCTGACAGCCAGGTAGGAGAATTCTTTTGCAGAATAGACTTACACAGTCTCTTCTGCTACTTGCCACCCACCCATTGTAAATAAGCGGATGGACGGCAAGCTCCATATATTTACAGTGGTTTTTTTTTTTTTACTTTTGCTCGCACGCACCAGCAGAATATGGTAAACATTTTACGCAGATTGTTAGCCCCCTATGTAATAGCAGTAAAGTTAAGTGTAAAAAAAAAAAAGTTTAAAAAACAAAAATTAGTCACATAAAAAAGTGTAAAAAAACACAAAAAAAGTCCCCCGCCTACACGTACACGCATATATAAACGTAACGCATGTTACATATCATCATGGAAATCAGAGCGTGAACAATAATTCTAGGGCCATTTATTGCTGTTATCACTAAACTGATGAGCGGTAAAAGGCATATGGCCAATTTTGGGTATAGTAGTTTTTTCTGCGATTTCGCAGGTGCTCAACTTTAAAGCTTGACATGTTTGGTGTCTATTTACCTGACGTGACCCCGTCTTTTATATGTTATCAAAAATTTGGGTAATAATAAATGTTTCATAACAGAACGTAGGGAAAACAGATTTTTTTTCCACAATTTTCTTCAGTACAGCGTTGCATGACGGAATAAATGTCAGTCAAAGTACTGCAGCCCTGAATACTGAAGTTAGAGGGACAAACGAAGGGAACGTGCGTTAACGTGCAATGGATCACCCAAGACCTGAGATCTTTAAGTATTTGTTAGGACAACAGTGTTCAAATCTAGTTCACAAATGATAATGAGATCTGCCAGCACAGTAAAGATATGGTTAATTATGGTAAACATTACTCTCCAGCCCCCTCAACTTTATGTAGAAGGGGAAGCTGGGTAGGATTTTTAGCAAGAAAAAAACAGATAAGTATCAGTTTTTAAGTTATTGTATGTGAATGCCATTTGTTATTGAACATGTAGCAGATATACAGTAAAGTAGGTGTTATTCCAGTTTGGCTGCAAAAGTGGAAATACACTTTAATGGACAACATGTACCAAAGGTACTGTTGTCCTTTAAGTACTTTTGATTCACGGACCTAAAAGTATGCTTTAAACAAGTGTCAGAAAAGGTCAGAATTCCTTATCTCTGCGCTTGTTGACTCAGATAGAAGAGATAAGAGCTAAGGTGC